TGTACGCAAAAAATTTCGAGTATTTGTTCAGCTGTGGTCCGTGTTGAGTTTTCACACAATTTCAGGCATTGAAACTGAGGTACCATACATATAATCAGGTATGGCACTCCGACCAGCGATTTGCCCTTCGATTTTGAACGCAGACCTCGCCAATTTGGCTGCCGAATGTCGGAAGCTTCTCGCGGCAGGTTCTGAAGTTCCGCTATAGTACAATCTTTATTCTTTTTTTACTATTTTCATCTGAGTGCCTACTAACATACATACAAATGTTGGTGCTATCCTAATTGGGGGACCACGCGGCGGCGCGGCGCTCTGTTCGTCTGCTCCTCCAAGGCTTAGTCCCCGATGGCGCGTATTTCGAAACTGCCACGTGATGGCGAAATAGTAACTGCCCCTGGGACTAAGCCTTTGGAGGAGCAGACGAACAGAGCCGCGCGCCGCGTGGTCCTCCCCCCCAACTATAAGAGCACCCAAATGTTTTATTATTTCTATATAAAACCGTGTATAGGTGCTGATTGGTTACACTTGGATGTGATGGATGGTCACTTTGTTCCAAACTTGACATTCGGCCATCCACTTGTGGAATCATTGCGGAAGAATCTCGGACCTGAACCATTTTTTGATGTTCATCTCATGGTTGGTGAACGATTTCGTCGCTCATCTTCATTCTTCATACCTTCATTTTTCTTTTCATGTAGATTCTGGAGACTCAGCAATAGTGCAGATCGCAGCGCATGTGGCTCGGGGAAGGGTGTGGGGGCAGTCGCCGCCGTTGCACGTCGCATGTTCGCGTACCTCAGTGCAGAGCAGGAAATCCGTGAGGCCAGGGGGAGTTTGCCACTCTAGGGGATAGGGGTGAGGGCAGCCACTTGACATGCGTGAAACGCTGAAATGTTCGAGCTTCCACACAATGTCGCGAAAATGCCATGGACCGCGGCGGAGACTGCCCCCCCTAGCTAAATTAACTCCAGATCGCTATTAGTTTAGTTCCGAAAGTGTTATTTTTTGGATGCCATACACAGCATTCGTATTTTAGGTGGCCGATTCTCGGCCTTTGGGTGACTCAATAGCCGCGCAAGCGACCTTAGTCTAATTCCTGGTTTCCAGCTGGTAGCCGCTTCACGAGAATAAAGACAAGTGTGGGTTGATGCAGAGGTATCATCAGTGATCGACTACGGTGATTTCTGGAAGTTCGAAATGCCAACCTACTCTTTCCCTTCGATTTGTATAGAACAGCAATTTTTTCCCACTACTTGCATCAAGCTTTTCTTTGCTCATGATTTTCAGATTCCATCTGAAGCCAAAATGAAGGTCGGATTTGCTTATTAAACCTAGACCTCAGTTGAAACAAAGTCCTCCAGTGAGCGCATAACCTTTTTATATACTGCTTTTTGTGAGCGATTTTTTGAACGAGTAGACCGACGTCGCCGAGTGTGACGTCGGTCGTAGTACTTCGCATTGGAAGGCGCATCTGGTATGGAGAATTTTAGAAAGAGGTTGGGTGGAGATTGTATCTCCCCACCCTCGCCGCGACGGGCTTTTGTGGTTGAACCGAAGTACCAACAACCAGTGGGTTACTGTGGTATGGGAAGTCGTACTTAGAAGGCGTGGGACCCTAGTGACAAAACCTGAGGTGAAAGCGGTTGCAAGTGGTCTTGCCATATTTTACTCCACACATGTTCCCCCTCCTGTCGCACATGGTCCTGCCGTTCAAACTTTTCAAAGGCAGCGATTACGATAAGGTGGAAGCGCATCGGGGAAGCATATGCACCACACGAAGAGTTTACTTGGCTGCCAAGGAAGTGAGATGTGGCATATTTACCGCGAAAAGCGGTGCGAGGCGTTCCTGAAACAGGATCCGAACAGCTCGGCCCCCCCAAAGCCGATTCGCATCCCAACGTGTTTGTTGTAATATTTGATCGTTGCGGTTATGCGTTGTCAGCGGCCGGCACAACTGATGCAACTCAAATTGGATCCTGTGGTTTGGTATACTGACCACCCAAACGCATTGCCGTGAACTCGTTCATATTAGTCCGATTTCTGAGCTGTTACCTGTTCATGAGTGAAAAAGAACGGCCAAGGAAGGGGTCCCGTTCTGCGTTTTTGACGGATTTCTCAGCTTTTTTCGCCACTGCGTGCTATTGAGCACCATCACGTCTCCTTTGAACCCTTCTCGAATCTATCGTAGCCGCTGCCTTTAACCCGTTAATTTTAGGTTTGCCGACAAAATTGACATGGCTCTGATCATGACTGTTGAACCAGGATTTGGAGGTCAAAAATTCATGGGTGACATGATGGACAAGGTAGTGTTTCTGTGAAAATTGATATACTTTTCGAATAAGAAGGACCTGTGTGGAGAGCTCTTTTCAGGTCCGCACGTTGAGGAAGGCTTACCCTTCCCTCAACATTCAAGTAGATGGCGGTGTATCAGCTTCAAATATTCAGGTGAATCCTTATGATAAAACAATATTCATAGTGTTAAACAAACCTTTTATGAAGAAATGCAAGTAATTCAAATCGAATGGGATTTACCTCAGATGAACCAGAAATATCAAAATACTTGTAAAATTTAGCTACTGTTCGCAGCAGTGTAGGCCTGCTGCGCAGTGGGGAAAGATGATATTTGGTGCATCTAAAAGGACTCACCAGTGCCGGGTCTCCTCATTCTTCGCCTATTTGAATTTCGGAAGGAATCTAAAGGCCTTATTCACTCTCGAGGTATTCCCTTTTTGGAGGAGCCTTCTGAAGGCAATACCCAGTAAGCGGTCGCAGCTTTGAAGGCAGATTTCACGAGGAAAAGGCAGCCCATTGGAAACTAAGTTAGAGATGCAAGAAAGAAGGAAGAACCAAGAAAAATGGCCTAGAGCCAGAGAAATGGGATTCAATTGATCTCTGCGTTGATGCGGTTCCAATCGCTGCTGCTTTCTTCGAAGCTAGCGCTCTCTCTGCCGAATGGCTAGAAGGTCAGACAGTGAGGGGAAAGGGCGTACGGCGCAGATAGCGCGTCAATAGGGCCGCGGGGAAAGCCATCCTAGATCGCTGAGGGCATATCCTTCGATGCAAATTGCGTGTCGGTCTGCACCCTTAGAAGGTCGGTAGGTTATCACTAGGGCAGATAAAATGCTGTTGTAATAAGTCCGCAATAAAGCAACATTGACGACGTGGGTGTTCGTTGGCCGGCATATTACGGGGCCTGTCGCCAATACTCGAATGTCCGTGGTTAGCTCGGCCCACATAAGTGGGCAGTTCCCAGGAGGTAAGCAAACCAGCCCTTTTGGCGTTTCGGCTGGGACCGTATGCTGAATGTTGGGGAGGGGATGGGGTCCCCAACGGTCGACGGTTTACTTCAACTCGGTTGGTACGATAGGAGAGTACTGACGCAAGTGGTGCAGCTGGTCCAGCAGCTCCGCCAGAAGGGCTGGTTTGCTCACCCCAGGACTAAGCCTTGGAGAGGGGACGGACCCGTCCTCTCTTTAAGGCTTAGTTCTGAGGTAAGCACCAAATTGTGGCGGTTCCAAGGACCGAGTTGAAGTGGTCCGTCTACCGTCGGAGACTCCATCCCCTTCCCAACATTCAGCACACGGTCCCAGCCGAAGCGCCAAAAGGGCTCGT